AACGTCTTCTTTAATCGCCGGCGCTGTTGGTCGTGGGGTTCCCGAACCTCGGTGAGGGATGGGGGGCGACGGAGGGAATGAGGGACCCGGGGAGCGGGCTAGGGTTTGCAGGGCCTGGGGGTTCGCGGGGCTCAGGGGCAGGCTGGGGGTTCGCGGGGCCCGGGGGGCGGGCCAGGAGTTCGCAGTCCCGGGGGGCGGGATAGGGGGTGCGCCGGGCCCGGGCAAAGCGGCATGAGGTGCGGGGGGACCGGCGCCGCTGACCCCTCCCGCTCTCCCAAGGCGGCCTCGGGCTCCCTCCGCTCGGCCATGGCCCCCCAGTCCCCGTGCAGGTCGCTGATGTCGCCGCCGCCCCCCCTGCTGCTGCTGCTGCTCGGTGTCGCGCTGCTGGGCGCCCAGGCTCGTGGGGAGCCCGCCGCCGGGAGCGCCGTCCCCGCCCAGAGTAGGTTCCCCCGCGTCCAGGTCCCAACATCAGCCCGGATACTGGAGACGGTGCGCCCAAGCGGTGGGCCTCCTGGTGGGGCACCAAGGGGGTGTGGCAGGGCCGCGCCTAGCCTTTGTTCCCAGGCCCCGTCCCCCGCCGCCAAGCCCCGGTCCCTCCCCTGCGGCGCCGCGGGGGATGGGTGGGTGGGGTGCGGGCTGGGCTGGGGACCCAAGATGGAGGCCGGCCGCCCCCTGACCCACACTCCCCGCCCCCCACAGGCCGCCCCTGCGTCGACTGCCACGCGTTCGAGTTCATGCAGCGTGCCCTGCAGGACCTGCGGAAGACGGCCTACAGCTTGGACGCTCGGGTGAGCGCCCTGGGTGGGCGGGCTTACTGGGGCACCGCGAGGTGGGCTTGGAGAGGGGGTGCTGAAGGACTGGCGCCGGGAGAGGAGGCGGAGGCAGACCCAGACCAGGAGTGGAAGACCATCAGTGCTGGGCCCTCCACCCCCATCTATGGCTTAGACCGGTGAGCCTTCTGCTGGCATCTGGCTGCAGTTATCCTTGGGGCTCTGGGTGCTGGCCCCCTCCATGAGCATCCCCCACAATTGCTCAGCAGGCTCTGTACCTAGCCCCCGTGGTGAGGGGGAGGGGCAGCCTCAGCCAGCTGGGTACTTTTCCTGTGACCCCCACTCTCAGGGCTGTGGCTGACCCAGCCCCAATCCAGGACTCCTCAGGGGGGCAGTGAGTTGGGGAGGGGATACCAAGTCCCAGAAATAGGTGTTCTTTTTCTCTGGATTTTTAGAGGGGTTTACCAGTAGAGCCTGGGTCAGAAGAGGGTGTGGCAGGAGTGTCATGGATGAGAAGGGGTAGGGTGGTGACCTGCCCCCGCCCCCACTCCTGGGGCTCTGTCTCAGGCCCCCCAGCCTGGGAGCTCAGGGTGGGCAGGGCATTGGGGAGAATCCTGTTCCTCCAGCCCTGACTTGGGGGGCAGAGAGTGTATGTGAATGACTCAGGGGCCTCAGGCCTGAGGATTTGGGAGGCAGGGAGGACACGCCCCCCTCCAAGCCTGGATGAACGGGTCCTCTGTTCTTCCCAGTAAAGGGGAAGAATTTCCGGAGGTAGGAAAGAAGGGGAGACCCTACCTGGTCCTGCCTCCCACAGCCCTGGTCCTCTTTCTGGCCAATTCCCGAGGGTCCAGACAAGACCTAGAGCGCCCGGGAGAAGGAGCCCTGGGGGTCTGGGGGCCGGGGGAGGGGCAGATGCCTGAGAGGGGTGCCTGTGTGAGGGCTCAGAGGCTGGATAGGATGCAGTGAGTGACTCCAGGGACCCAGTGGGCGGTGGGGGGGGACAGAGCTCAGGGAGGGCCCCTGGGTGTGGGGATAGGGGGTGTGTGACCAGGTCAGGTCTACGCCCTGAGGTCAGCTGCCCCCGGAGCAGGTGGAGATGGGACTGCCGTCGGGGGGGGGCATCCTGGGGCAGGGGGCTAGGGCCCAAGGTGGCTGCGCAGCCCCTCACGGCCTGTTGTCGCTTTGCAGACGGAGACCCTCCTACTGCAGGCGGAGCGCCGGGCCCTGTGTGCCTGCTGGCCTGCTGCAAGCTGAGGACCTGCAGCCGGGCCCTGTCCCCTTGTCAATAAACACCTGGCCCCCACACCTGCCTCTGTGTCCTGTCTCCCTGCTCTGGTGCCAGAGCCTGTCTTCGTCGACCCCTTTCTGAGCCTCGGTTTCCCCAGCTGTTCCATATGCACTGGGGCCTCCTTGGCACCTGTCTCATGCCAGCACCAGTGCTGAGGCAGACGCACGCCTGTCCACCCATGGGAGCTGCTACCCAGGGGTGTGGCCGTGGCCTCCGCAGGCCCGGCCCCTCTGGACATCTGACCTGCTCCCTGGCGTTTCTGTCCTTGTTTGGAGGCAGGGGGAGTGACGGGGCACGCCCTCCCAGGCCCCCCTGTGATGGAGGGGGCTGCGAGCAGGGGCTCCCTGGGGGCCTGCTGTGGTTGAGGAGGAGCCAGGCTTGCCAGGAGCAGACTCTGCCTGGGGCTGCCGGGAGAGGGCAGGTGCCTAGAGGAGGGGGAGTGACTGGGCAGCGGGTGACTATCCCTCCAGGGAAGGGAGGGGCTGCCTCCCCACAGCCTCAGAACCTGCTCTGCTGTGCCCACCTGCAGCCCCTGCGCTCCCGGCCCTGGGCTCCAGGGACTCCTGGATGGGGCTCTGGCCCTGAACACAGGCATTCACATCCATGGGCACAGGTCCACGCCCACACATACATGCGTGTGCACTGCACATGGAACCCGCTTGACCAGGATGGACACCAGGCAGGGAGACTGTCTCAGTCACCTAGCGCTGCTCTAACAGAAACACCACAAGCAGATGGCTTTCACAAAGAGAAATTTATTCTCTCACAGTCTAGTAGGCTACAAGTCCAAATTCAGGCATCAGCTCCAGGGGAAGGCTTTCTCTCGGCTCTGGAGGAAGGTCCTGTCATCTATCTTCCTCTGGTCTAGGAGCTTCTCTGCGTCAGAACTTCGGGTCCAAAGGATGTGCTCTGCTGCCGGCACTGCTTTCTTGGTGGTATGAGTTCTTCGACTCTCTGCTCGGTCCTTTTCCTTTTAGCTCTCGTAAGATAAAAGGTGGTGCAGGCCACACCCCAGGGAAACTCCCTTTACATTGGATCAGGGATGTGACCTTAGTAAGGTTGTTACATCCCACCCTAATCCTCTTTTAACATAATCTAATCTTGCCTCATCAACCACAGGCAGAGATTAGGATTTACAACACAGGAAAATCCCATCAATCACACAACACTGGGGATCACGGCCCAACCAAGTAGACACGCTTTTTTGGGGCACACAGTTCAGTCCATGACAGGGACCTACAGGCCGAAGCAAGCTCCATCTCTCTCCCCTTCTTCATTCCCTAAATGGTTTTTAGAGTAAAGATGATAGCCCTTTATCAGTGTAATACCTGCACATTGTTAGGGACAAACCCAGGAGTACGTCGGGCGTTCAGAGTGGAAGTGAGCGCCACTTGTCTGGCAGGACCACTCCTACCTCCCAGGTTAGCTCCTGCTTGTCACCTCTGAAACCCTGGTGGCATAGTGGTTGAGCGTTCAGCTGCTAACCAAAAGGTCGGCAGTTCGAATCTACCAGGCGCTCCTTGGAAACCCTATGGGGCAGTTCTACTCTGTCCTATAGGGTTGCTATGAGTCGGAATTGACTCGATGGCAACGGGTTTTTGTCACCTCCTCAGTGTGACCTGGTGTCCCTTGCCATAGCCTCAGGCTCATAGAACCGGCCGTTCCTGGTCCACTTCCCGAGACGACAGTGGGTTTCTAGCTCACATGTCCCCACCTCCCTGTCTCTCACGTCACTGTTTTTATTGCCCCTGTGGATCACTTTTATAACTAATATAGTTGGATGTATATGTGTGTGAAAGGTATTCGCAACGAAGAAGTCGTTGGCCTTGCAAAATTCTGTCATGCGATCTCTGGAGCCATTTCTGTCACCAAGGCCATATTTTCCAGCTACCGATCCTTCTTCGTTTCCAACTTTGACATTCCAATCACCAGTAATTATCAATGCATCTTGATTGCATGTTTGATTAATTTCAGACTGCAGAAGTTGGTAAAAATCTTCAATTTCTTCATCTTTGGCCTTAGACGCATTACATTAGGCAAATCTGCCGCAAATAACCTTTTAAAATTTAGCGTTAAGAAGCAAAGATGTCACTTTGAGGACTAAGGTGCCTGACTCACACCATGGTGTTTTCAGTTGCCTCATATGTATGGGAAATCTGGACAATGAATAAGGAAGACCTAAGAAGAATTAACGCCTTTGAATTATGGTGCTGACGAAGAATGTTGAATATCCCATGGACTGCCAGAAGAATGAACAAATCTGTCTTGGAAGAAGTGCAGCCAGAATGTTCGTTAGAAGCAAAGATGGCGAGACTTTGTCTCATATACTTATCAGGAGGGACCAGTCCATGGAGAAGGACATTATGCTTCGTAAAGTTAGAGGGTCAGCGAAAAAGAGGAAGACCCTCAAGATGGATTTACACAGTGGCTGCAACAGTGGGCTCAAGCATAACAATGATTGTGAGGGTGGCGCGGAATGGGGCCGTGTTTCCTTCTTTCGTACGTAGGGTTGCCGAGTTGGAACCAGCTCAACAGTACCTGACAACAACAACAACATATATGTGTGAAAAGGAGCCTTGGTGGCACAGTGATTAAGTGCTCGGCTGCTAACCAAAAGGTCAGCAATTCGAACCCACCAGCCGCTCCGTGGGAGAAAGCTGTGGCAGTCTGCTTCTGTAAAGATTCAGCCTTGGAAACCCTATGGGGCAGTTCTGTTCTGTTCTGTTCTGTGGGGTGGCTATGAGTTGGAATCGACGGCAACGGGTTTGGTTTTGGGGTGTGTGTGTGTGTGTGTGTATTTATCTTCTTAGTCTGTGTTCCGTGAACTCTCAGGAGATCTGTCCTTCCCTCCCCACTCTCTGCACTGGCCTCCCAACTATCCACCTGTCTTGTCGTTAGCGCTTTTGTGCCTGACAGCGCCTGAGAGGGCCTGGCACACAGGTATGCAGGCCCTGCTCCAGGTGCTGGGACACACAGTGAACAGAGCAGAGCCCCCCTCGGGCAGCTACGTCGTGGCAGGAAAACAGGTGCCAGGCAGCGATGGTGACTATGGAGACCGAGGCAGGCAGGGAGAGACGGATGGCTGGAGTGGCGCAGAGCCCCGGTAAGCCCGTGTGAGCTCACCCTGAACCTGGCCGGGAGCAGGTGTGGTGGCTCAGCAGTGCCCGGAAGGGGCAGAGGGTGGGGTGGTGGAGGCAGGGGCCTGCCCTTTAACCCTTTAAGGGCATGACCTGGACGGTGCTCACGTCTCATTGGTCAGCTTCAGTCACACAGCCATGCCTAGCTGCAAGGGAGGCTGGGAATGCAGGCTTTGTTCTAGGCTTGGGTTGCTAGATTTAGCAAATACAAATACAGGATGATTGAATATTATTTTTAGTATAAGTATGTCCCATGCAATACTTGGTACATACTTCTATTAAAAATTATTTGTCGTTTATCTGAAATTCAAATTTAAGAGGCTGTCCTGTATTTTATCTAGCAACTCAATTCTGGGAAGCCATGAGCCCTGCTGAAAACTGGGGTTCTATTGCTATAGAAGATAGGGGAGAGCAGAGGCTTCCTATAACAAGCCCCTCCGGAGAGGTGCCCTTTGAGATGAAGTCAGGGCACAAGGCACATGGGGGCGGAGCAGCCCAGGTGGAGGGGGCAGGAGACCACCTCTGGAGCAGAGAGGCAAGGAAGCCCGAGTGGCTGCCGGGAGGGAGTTGGAGGTTGCAGGGGCAGCAGGGTGCAGACAGCCTCTTGGGCAGCCCTGCAGGGCTTATAACAAGGCAAGGGCGTGATTTGACAACTGAACAGGATGTCTCTGGCTGCTGGTGACGACTCGGTGGGAGCAAGGAAGAACTGGGGACCCGGGAACCTGGGAAGAGGCTATGCAGTCCTCACAGCCGAAGAGGACGGTGTTTGGGACTGGAGGGGAGCAGGGTGGCGGTAGTCGTGACGAGGGAAGCAGCTGGATTCGGGGTGTATATGGAAGTAGTTGTTTGCCTTCGAGTCAATTCCGACTTATGGTGACCCCAGCGTTACCGAGCAGAGCTGCCCCATAGGGTTTTCTTGGCTGTGATCTTCACAGAAGCAGATCACCACGCTTTTTCTTCCATGAAACCACTGGGTGGGTTTGAACTGCCAACTTTTAGGTTAGCAGCAGATCACAAACTACTTGCAATGCGCAGGCTCCTTTTTGGAAATAGAGTCGGCAGGATTTAGGAGGGGTTGTGTATGCGTTTTGAGAGAAAGAGGGGTGGAGGGAGGATGGAGTTGGGGAGCTGGGCAGAAGCAGACTGCAGGAAGAGCAACAGCTGAGTTTGCAACAGGTCCTAGACGCCTGAGTGGAGAGGTTCTGGGCAGCAGAGGGCTGGAAAGAGGAGCTGGGTATCTTAGCCATCGCGTGCTGCTATAAAAGAAATGCCACAAGTGGATGGCTTTAACAAAGAGAAATTTATTCTCGCACAGTTTAGGAGGCTAGAAGCGCAAATTCAGGGCGTCAGCTCCAGGGGGAGGTTTTCTCTCTCTGTTGGCTGTGGTGGAAGGTCGTTCTCATCAGTCTTCCCCTGGACTAGGAGCTTCTCTGTGCAGGAACCCTGGGTCCAAAGGATGTGCTCCGCTTCTGGTGCTTCTTTCTTGGTGGTATGAGGTCCCCACTCTCTGCTTGCTTCCCTTTCCTTTCATCTCTTGTAAGATAAAAGGTGGTGCAGGCCACACCCCAAGGAAACTCCCTTTACGTTGGATCAGGGATGTGACCTTAGTAAGGGTGTTACAATCTCACCTAATCTTCTTCAACATAAAATTACAATCACAAAATGGAGGACAACCACACAATACTGGGAATCACGGCCTAACCAAGTTGACACATATTTTTGGGGACACAATTCAATCCATGACACTGGGGCACTGGTGCTGAGCAGCAGAGGGCTGGACACCCAGGGTGTCCAGGGCTGAGAGGGCGAGGGGTAAGGAGGGCCCTCAAAGGAGATGGGGACAGCTGTGAGGCAGGAGGAGAACAGAGGGTGAGTCCCCGGGCAGGGAGGGGGGGCTTTTAGAAGAAGGGAGGGATCATGTGCCACGTGCGGCTGAGGCCAGGCAAGGCCAGAGCCTGGACTTCTGGATCTGGCACCTCGGTCACTGGTGACCTCAACAAGGGCGGGGTCAGGGGGTGGGGAAGGCCTGATTGTTGGGGCTCCTGGGAGGATGGGAGGAGAGAGGGAGAGAGCCCACGTGGACAGCTCTTGCACAGAGTTTAGCCTTATATACGTGAGTGTGGTCCACATTTTGTTTTATAGCTGAGGTGCAGGATATCCTAGGCGCAAATGGTTGGCGTTCGACTAACCTAAAGGTTGGCAGTTTGACCCCACTCAGCAGCACCACGGAATAAAGGCCTGGTGATCTGCTTCTGCAAAGATGACAGCCAAGAAAACCCTATGGAGCAGTTCTACTTTGTAACACATGGGGTCCCCATGAGTCGGAACTGACTCCAGGGCAACCGATGTGGTTTTTTTTGGTTTATAGCTTCCTGCTTGTCTGTTGGTTGATTCAATCAATGGCATTGATGATGACTCTGTAAATATAGCTTATAGCATGGCCCATGAACTGGGACTGGGGTATCTTTCTAGCACAGCTTTTGGTTTTCCTGGACTTCAGGTTGATTTTCTCCTCGGCGTGGTCTGCCTTTATCACATCCTCACTGTCTTCAGCCGCTGGGCATTGCCCGCCCTTCCCTGCTCTCTAGCTTCGACCAACCGTTTCTAGATCCACGCCGTTTTCTCTCTTGGTCTCCTCCTCGGTTTTGCTCTTACATGCCTTCAAGTGGCTGCCCAGAAGAGAGTGGGTGGGAAGTTCACTTGCTGAGTCAGCCTGTCTGAAAACATTGTCTTCTGTTGGCACAGGGATTCCTAGTTGAGCCCATCTGATGCCAGGGACTTTGCACTTGCTATGTGCCCTGTTCACCCAGTTACCACATGGCCTAGTCTCCCGCCTGGCTTTCCTGTGGAGGGTTTGTCCCTAAGGGGTACTAGAGTGTTTATCTTGGTGTTTTCTAGTTTACTTCCCAACTCCGCCACTGGGCTGTCAAGCCCCAGCTGGGCAGGGACCCATGCGAGTCAGTGCTGAATCTGTCCCCGATGGGGGGCTCTTACCTGTCCTTCTTCCCTTCCCCCCTCTTTCGGGAAGCTGTTGGGGCGTCTTCCCTGGGCACTGAAGTTTCGGGAAGCTGCGGGGGTTTTGCACTCCCAGCGCTGGGCAGCTTTTCTTTCTTTTTTTAAATTTATTTATTTTAGTGAAAATATACATAAGAAAACATAACCCCGTCAACAATTTCTACGTGTACAATTCAGTGACACGAGTTACACTTTTGTGCCACCTTTCTTGACAACCTGTTCCAAACTATTTCACACCGGGGAGGTTGTAACTGGAGTTAACTGGGGTCCTTTAGCTTGGGGGGATTATTATGATGACTTTATATTGTTCCCTCCCTCCTCTGTCGTCTCTGCTCCGGCACTCCTGGTAGCGGTGGGCCTTTTGGACCCACTGTTTTTCTTCTTTTCTTTCCCTCTTTTTGTTCACTTTCTGGAAATCCCCCAGTTTTTCTGCCACCCTACCAGCTCCATGTGACACTTCTTAGGACCTGGCCCACCTGACTGCTCCTGGTAGCTTCTAGAAGCTTCGCTCACTTTCCTTCCTTCTCTATCCCAAGGGTTTCGCTCTTCCTCTGGGGAGGACGCTCCCCTCCCCAGGGCCCCTTAATGTCCTCGAGGAGACCCCGCGGGTCTGCCCTGAGGGGTGGTCCCTTCTTCCACGAGGGGGCCGTTTTGCTAGCGAACTGCCCCGTTTTCGGTGTACCCTCCCCGCACCCAGAGTCTCCAAGTGCCAGAGGACCCAGGAGCGCTCTCCCCACTTCAGACTCTGAAGCCTGGTGTGGGGTCTCGGCTGCGCGGGCCCACCCCTCTTTCTGGGCGCCCACGTCTGCCCTGGAAAGGTGAGTCGAACCCGGGACGAGGCCGCGGCAGGACGGGCAACCCACGGGGTCTCAGGCTGGGCCAGGGCAGCACGGGGGTTGTGGGCTGGGGAGAGGGGCTCTGGGAAGCTGAAGCCAAAAGGGGGTGCGGGGTTTTGCGGAGACCCCGCCGGAGACGCGGGAATGGTGACAGCCCGGGCCCCGGGAGGCACTGGGGCCTGCACGGAGCACAAACCCGCCGGGCCAAGGTTTTCTCGTCTGTGAAGCTTGCTCCCTTGCCGACATGGCGCCGACTCCAGGCACTGCCGCCAGAGGGCGTGTGACTGCGCGTCTTCCCTGCGGGGCCTCTGCCTGGAGCACAGGGCTAGCCCAGCCATCATGGCTTTTGGGGTGTCACATGGCCACTGGGGTTTTGGGGGACCCATGGGGAGTCTGAAGACAAGGCCACCTAGAGGAAGAGACGTCTGCAGATGCCTAACTGGGGGCGTGCCCACCGGGGTCACTCCATCGTGGCCCTGTCCTTGGGCCTGGCTGCTGGGGCCAGAGCAGGGGGCCTCAGGGTGTGTGTGTCGTGGGGAGGAGTAGCCAGCAGACGCTCTGGACCTGTGGTGGAGCCCCAGGGTGTGGAGGTGACCTGAGGCTGTGAGGCCCCTTTGCTTCCAAGCCTGGGGTAGGGGTCCGCTCCGGAGTCCGGGACGTGGGATGTGGCCCCTCCCTCCCCTGGTCCCCATCACTGAGTGTGACAGCATCGTCCCCAAAGCGCTGAGAAGGGCTCAGGGCCTGCATTCCAAACCCAGCCTCCCCTTCTTGGAAGCCCCTGTCCCCTCCAGGCACACTAGCCCTCCAGGCCCCACTTTTCCTGCCCGGCCGGCCCCTTTGCACGCTCTACCCTCCTGGGGGTGGGGGTGGGGGTGGGGGTGGGAGCTATCCCGGCCGTCCACCTGGTGAATGTGAGCTCGGGACAGCCCTGTAGGGCATGGCGGGTGGTGGAATGCGTCCCTGAGTTTCTCTGAGATTTCCCGGAGATTCCACCTCGCTCTCCTGGAAGGTCACAGCGCCACGTTCCACACATGTCCTGGCGTCTCCGGACATGGGGGTGCCTTCCCAGATTTGCTGCCTCCCCTCTCCTCACCCCAGGCCCCAGCGCTGGGTGCGGCGACCTCCTTTCCCCCCCGGGTCCCTCGGCGAGACCTTGTACTCCCACCACCAGTCCCACGGGCGGTTCTGGAGCCTGCTGGCAAGGGATCACTCCTTCCTCAGAATCTGGGTGACCTTAGCCGCACCAATGGCCCCAACTCCGCAGCGCGACGCTTGCTGACGAGCCTCAGGCCAGGACCACTGGGCCTCGTGGTCACCCGCGTGGGTGCAGGGCTTTCATTTCGGGCTGCCCGGCAGGGTGACCCGCGGGGAAAGGGAGGGGACGCGGGGAGCTGGGCAGAGCCGCAGAGGCTGAGTTCGAAAGGTGCGGGGGCCGGTGGTGCTGGCCCCTCGGAGTCCGGACGGCGTCTTTGACCCTCTCCCATCCCGACCCCAGTCTGCAGCGTCGGCAGGTTGGGCCCCGGGGACCTGGAGGATTCCGCTGCGCGCGGAGAGCTCCCCCTCAATGCACCTGCACCGAGGCCGCGGGGCGCATGCGCGGGCCGTGGAGGGCGGGGGCCGGCTGGAGGGGCCCTGCGGCTCGCCCTCCCCGGTCTCTGCGGAGAGCAGTGTGCGTGGCGGGCGGTGCGGGGTGCCGGCGCTCTGGGCGTCCGGTC